TTCCATGATTTTTGTGTAACTTTTTGGCCAAAAAAGGGTAGCTTATTTTCGGAAACCTACGGTAGCTATAAAATACATATAGGTGGATTTGATGCATTGGTCCTTAGCAAGAGACACCAAATTTTAATTTGAACCCTATATTTTTTTATATTCAATTGGTCAAATGTACAAAACAATTACTCAATTATACTTTAAGAATTTATAACTATACCTTAAATAATTTTAAAGATATAATGATTATGCAAAACCATGCGTCCAACCCATCTGCCTTAGCCCAAAACCCATCTCATTACTACTGGTTAGAGCCTTACTCAGATATTTCATTTAATGTCTAATCCTTATTAGGACATGTCTAAGCTCTATTAGGACATCTAATTTGAAGTATAAGCCCTACTAGAACATATTGTTTAACATCATGTATATTGTTATCTTTAAAAAAGCAGTTTGCATACTTCCTTTGTAAAAGAAATACTTTGCTGATTATTAATAAAAAAAAACTGAAATTGCCTTTTAATTATGAGTTTACTATCCACATCTTCACAAAATTTAATATATTTGATCTCTTGCCCAGTTTGTTTTTGAAAATTTAAATCAGAAAATAGCTATAAAAAACATTGTAGCACAATTGAAAAGTATAACATGCCATGCAGTGAACTTGATAAAATTCTGGTTAAAACAACACATGAATTTAAAAATACATTAATTTAGTAAATACATTGTCACTTACCATTAAGTTTTGCCAAAATAGAAAAAAAGATACTATCAGTTCCATAAACTGAAAGTCAATTTATTACTGTTTTTAGAGGTTATATTTACCAATTTTCAAATAATCCATGAGTATAAAAATGTAGATTTTATAGTGAGTCTGCATATTCAACTTTAATACAAATTTTAGAAGATCCTAAATGGGGTCAAAGATATTATAATCAAAATCAACAAGCATATATTGTTCAGAAAAATTATTGAATTATACCAATAACAAAGATCAAGATGATGATATTAATCCTATAGAACAATTAAATATCAAAAAAAAAACAAAAAATTTCCCAGGGTGAGCTCCTAGTAGAATAGAAAAAAAAAACTATCAAAGAAATAGATGATCATACTTGTATTGCAGGTTTTATATACATATTTTTTTATGTATCGCAAAGATACTTTCCATATAAATAGGTGTATAGTTATAGTCAACTAGTTATGAAGTGTTGTTTACAAGCCAAGCAAGGCTTTTAAAAGTGCAAAAAACAAATTTGAAAAAATCAAAATCATAATATGTTCTAATAAAGAGATAATATTTGTCTATTTTACTAATATCTAGCCTACTAGTTCACACAAATCAAACAAATTAAAAATATTAATGCTATTTGTTTTAAGGTGAAAAAGTTTTTGGCTGAGCCCTTACAAAAATTTCAATTTGAAAATTTAAATACTAACATCTGTAATATTAGTTTTGAAGGTGAAAAAACTATTGCAAAACACACTGTAAAAATGTTATTCAAGTTCTTTTGCTTTAAACTGATAATAAAAGTTGCTTTATCACGTGGTTAATTATCATTTTTCTGTACAATTAGCAAGATACAACTCATCCTTTTCTTCATTGATAAAGGTCGCTCAAGCATTACTTTTACATTTTTTATATATAAAACATAATAAACAATTAATTCTCAACAAATTTTTAACGGTCTAAAAAGATAGCCACTTTATCTTATTGTTTAAACCTTTTAAAACAAATAATCAATGCCTTGATACGATATAATAGATATGATCCATCCTTTAATAAACTATAATGAATACTGTTATTCTATTTTTCACTCATTTAAATTTAAATCTTCTCAGTAAAGAAGACCTAAAACTGAAAGGTTTGGGTATATGTTTTCACATATTTGATAGATAATTAAAAAATTTAAATTGTTAAAATTATCAAAAAGAAGAGCTGATATAACTAAAGCTAATTGAAAAGAAATTTCTTTCATTAGATTTTTAGGTAGTATAGCAAATATTACAAAAAACAGAAAAAGTATGCTCAAGTATTTAATTTGTAAATATCGACATCAATTGAGATACTTGAGCATTATTACAATTATTATTTGATCAATTTGATTTAAATGCTTGAGAACAGTCTTATCCACAACTACACTAATAATAATATAACTTTTTAACTGAAGGAACCTATTTGTTACAGCACTTCCTAGTTCTGTATGATAAATAGTCAAAACTGCTATGATATCTGATCTTCTTCTAATATGGCGTTTATACGCTTTTTCTGGCAAGAAAGTATTTTTCAGACTTAGTTGAAAATTTTTATTTTTTGTGTTATATACACATGAAGAATTTATTTATCCTTATATTATAAGTAAATATATATAAACTTTTTATATTCTAATTTTATTTTTATTTTTTTTAGACAAAAGAGAAAACTAAAACTCTCTTATTCTTTATTTTTCAATCCACATATTTTAACTTAAATTAATTATATCATAATTTATCCTCTGATATTTAATTTGTATCTTAATTACATAATGGATCGGTTATATGATTCTTTAATTTTATCTATATTGCATATTTTTCATGCTCCATAACTGATTCTTAATTGATCATTACCGTTACTAATATCTTGTATTTGATTACCTGTGATTCGATTATTATCACACATAATCTTAAAAGAACAATATAATCACGAAACTAACATATTGGTATATATTTTTTTATTTTTTTTATTTTTCCCTTATCATTACCCCTCTCATCACATACTGTGGGAGCCAATATTTATTGAAGAGCTAATCATTACTACTACACTATTGGAAAAATCTGGTTATATTAATTAAACTCTCCAAATTTATAATTCAAATTATTCAATTACATATAAGTCTCTTTTAAATTTAATCATGACTAATCAATACCTGGTGTTTAGAAAATACAATATTAGTAAGCTAAGATAAATGACATCAATATAACAACAAAAACTCATACTATAGTACTTAACTATTGAAGCTTTGTACTAGTCTATTCAATATAATATTCAAAATTAAGCTAGACTCAACATATTTTAATTAATAAAGATTAAAGATTCAGGTCAAGCTTCTTGTCTATTTTCACCAGAAACTTGTACAAAAATATTAGAAACTATGTTAAAAGTATAGTTTAAAAATTTTTATTATTGTTCATATAATTTAATAATAGTAATTATTATATAATTATATTATATAAATTTATCTTTATATTATCTAACTGCTAATACAAAGTTTTTTAACTTTTTGTCTAAAAGGTTGTTATAAGAAAAAAAGGTTTCATGATTAAAATTCTAAAATTTCAATTGTAGCTACACTTCTTTTGAGAGGATTTTCTCCATTCATAGTAGTTTTTTGAAAAAAAAAGATATATGTTTATGATTTTTTTTCTTAACTGCACTACAAGAAAATGCTTTTAACTCCTATCACTTATGTTTTTAATATAACTCCCATCCATAAAATACTAAAAAATGAATATAGGGAGGTATATCGATTGGTAAGTAAAGGCCTTTAATGTTATTTTGTAGATTATTAGGATCTTTTTCATCAGGTTTTAAAAAAGTTTAAACTATTTGAGTGCTATATATTTTAAATATAAAGAATCACTATCTTGATCAAACATCACCTTATTAATTTAACAAATTTGTCTTACAAAGATCGAATTAATTTAGCTCTACTTGGATAAAAAAGCATAGCTAAATTAAAATATTGCAGTACTTTAATTTTATCATCTTTATTTAATGATGTGTTTTTTCATGTAGTAGATTCTTGCCAAAATAAAACTTAATATTGAGCCGTTTCATTTTATCCACAATAATTTTACGGCTAATATCATTAAATAAATTTCATTCTTTAATTTTTGATAGCATTAAGGACCAAAGCTTATTTTCAAACATCAAATATGTAATTAGACAAAGAAATCATATCAAACAATGGTGGTTTGATATGACTAAGTATATTATAATAGTTATTTTTTAGATTGTCTATCGATTTGGTAATTTTCAAGTCCTGAGTTGCATTACTGATTTCTTGTTTGGAGCAAAGACACCAGGCACAAAAATAATTGGAATTCACAGTATTTAATCCTAGACAAATTGCAAGAAATTTCCAATCGCTACTAAAATATAACTCGAACTGCCAAAGAATACTATCAACTTCCAATCTATTAGTTTTAAAGTCTTTAAGATTATTGAAAAATAGACTTAATATAACTTCAAGAGATTTATATTTTTCAATTTCTGGATATAAAGTGATAGCTAGATACATGGTGGTGCTCTTGATTATTAAGAATAGTAAGAGTAATTATCACATATTTAACTTTTGATCTACATTACAACCATCACCAGAAATTTATAAATATATTACTGGATCACAAATTGATATTATATTTTTATGTACTAAGTAAAAAATTAGATAACTAAGTATTTCTTTATAGTCACATTGTCTACTAGTGCCTACTGCATTTAGAACTTTATTAAAATCTATATTATCATTATTAGCATCATCAAATTCTTTAATAATTTCTAGACTACTATCTATTACATCTATATCAATGAGTTTAATTGGAATATTTTTAGTTATTATTTGAGTTAAGTTATTTCATTCAATTGTAATAAAATGTTCATATGGTAGATGATAATCTATTGTGGCTAAACCTCAGTAAGCATCATGAGAAATATAATTCAAATCTATTATTTTAATTATATTTAAGATCTTATTTTCTTTTTGTGTAAAATCAACCAATTCAAAACTAAGGTAATAATTTTGATTATCAACAGTATATTCTAATAACTTTAGTAAAACAGATTCTTGATTATGGTATTTAAATATAGAACTTTGATTAAATTCATCTCTAATCGTTGTAGCAATATTTTTTGCATGCCTATTAAGTGTTGACTCAGAATATTGATTTACATGTTTTATTAAATTTTGATTTACAGATATAAGTGAATATTGTCTAGCCTGATATTTTCTAATATTTTTAAGTGTCTGAAGCTATAATCCAAAGAGCAATATCCCAGATAATTGGCTTGTTTTATTTATAGCCTTTTCATAGTTTGTTGCAGCTGTAGTTGCTAATATGTCTAATTTGATTTTATATTTAAAGAAGGTACCATATTGAATTTGAAATTTGGGTTTTTCATCCTTATATTCTATTTTACATTGAACTGTTTTTTGATTTTTATCACGTCTCTGACTAGTTTTCAAAGAATAGTTATTAGGAATTGGATACTTATTAGAAGGTAAAGTATAACAAAGTTTAAGAGCATTTGGATAAAATCCTTTAGTCTCTATAAAATAACTAAAAGTTCATTGTGTAATATTATTTTTTTTCTTGATAAGAGATTACAGAGCTTTCAGAGTAATTCTCTAGTTCAACCATTTTAATTTCTGATTTGGTTGTATTTGAATAGTTTAATATTACTGTGTTAATTAAATAATAAAATTTTAAAAAAATTGGTTTATACAAAAGAATTTAGCTAACAATTTTCAATAATAATGCATATTTATATTGAATTTTGCCCTATATGTAGGATTTATATTTTAATTATAGATAATTATTATATCATGATAAATTAGTTATAGACATGATCATTCTATTACAATGAATTAATCATAGACATGCTCATTCTAACACAATAAATCACCAATGATAAAACTAAAATATTGATAATAAATATTAAATATATTAGCAGATAAATTAGAAAACAAACACAATATTATATTAGCATAGCAATGAATTAGTTATAGTGTGATTATTCTATTACGATAAATTAGTTATAGACACAATTATTCTATCACGATAAATTAATCATAGACACGCTTATTCTAACACAATAAATCACTAATAATAAAACTAAAATATTGATAATTAAGATTAAATATATTAGCAGATAAATTAGAAAACAAACACAATGATAAATTAATTATAGCACGATCATTCTATATGAGAAATTAGTTATAGGTGCGATCATTCTATCATAATGAATTAATCATAGACATGCTTATTCTAACACAATAAATCACCAATAATAAAACTAAAATATTGATAATTAAGATTAAATATATTAGCAAATAAATTAGAAAACAAACACAATGATAAATTAATTATAGTATGATTATTCTATTATGATAAATTAGTTATAAACACAATTATTCTATCATGATAAGTTAATTATAGACCTGCATATTCTAACACAATAAATTACCAATGATAAAACTAAAATATTAATAATAAATATTAAATATATTAGCAGATAAATTAGAAAACAAATGCAATATCATATTAGCACAGTAATGATAAGTTATTAAGAAGTTAAATGTGTAATTTAAAAGAGACAATTACCAATATATACATATATAGTATCAATATATGAGTGCCACCAAGGGATAACTTGTCATCAGTACTTTCAAACATTAATATTAACCTAGACAATTGCAATACCAAATCGATTAAGAAATTCTTATAGTTTTGGGTTAATTTTAATACTATCTATTCAAATTATCTTTATTCTTAATTTGCACTAAACTAAATTATATATAGTATATAATTATCATGCATAACGATATTAGCTTCAATAATCAAATCTGCATTATTATAACATACGTAAGTACATATATAAATTAATAGTTATCTCTAATATAATGAATATATCATGAGGAAAATTTGAGTATACAAGTATGCATGTCTTTTAAATCACGATCACTACTGTTTATAGTACTATTATTCTTACTGCATTTTCTTGTCAACCTAGTAAGTTATTCTCAACAAAAAAAAATCAAACAAAAAACATTTCATCACAAACTAGAAACTTCAGACTTATATGATTTAAGAAATTTTTTTATTGCCTAAGCAACCCAAAATTACATAAGTCTGAACATTCTAATTATTGATATGGATCAAAATAATAGTGAATGATTATTTTAATATTTATTTATAATTTTATTGATTTATCAAAATCGGAGGATTTTATTTATTTTGAAATACATATTTATTTGTAAATTTTGAAACCTCCAATAGCATAATTTTATTTTATCAATACTAGTAATCCTATATAAACGTAGATATCTAACTTTTAATAATAAAATTGATTATATTTCTGAACAAGATTCGCTCAAGCATACTTTGTTTAATTAATCTATTATTACTCTCAATAAAATGCCACCTAGGCATAGACTTCCGTCTAAGAAAAAGAAACAGCCAATTATTAAAATTATTAAATACAACCCAAATGTAAAAGAATGTAATCAAACACCAGAAACAACCAAGCAAATTATCAAACAAAACATAAATAAAAAGATAGTATATAATCAAACACCAGAAGCTGTCAAGCAACCCATTAAACAACCTATCAAACAAAACATAAAAAGGTGGTATGCAATTGAATACTAGAAGCAGCCAAGCAACCTATCAAACAAAGCATAGAAGGTGGTATATAATCAAACACTAGAAACAATTCAAATTTAATTTGCAGACAATATGAATAAGGAGATAAAAGACAAGTTAGCTATTTTTGAAAATAACCAAATGCCAAAGGCAATCAAGATTAAAAAGTAATATATGCCTAATATAAAATCTCTGTTTTAGTTCTTAGTTTTCTAGATTTAAAAAAATATAATAAATCTTGGCCGGGACCAATATAAAAAAATATTAATATAATTCTAAAAATAATCAATTAAGCTGCCTAAATTAATTTTCATGTAGACTATTGCTATATATCTGATTGGATAATCAGCATTTTAGAGTTACTTTGGCTAATTCTTAAAATTAGATGTACATGGTTGTGTAAATCCAATAATTTTTCATACGCTACCTAATTAAGTTACTAAAAATCTGTTATTGATTTGTAAATATTAAACAACAAAAGAATTCATTCAATCTCACTATCATATTTTGTTGTTTTTCACTTGTCTTTTATTAAGCATTAAATCAAAGAGTTAATGGCTAATTAAGCCGGTACAGGCAATGTAAATATAACTCCTGATATAATAACTAAGAGCATTATTACGTTTGTCACCACTGAAATAAAAAGTAGTGATTATTGATATTAGTACTATAAAATTAATAACAAAAAACAAAACTTTAAATTACAAACTTAGATATAATTATATTATACTTATATTGCTATTTCTATGTCAAGTATTATAAGTTCAATGATTACTAAAACACAGTATGAAATCAAAATATAGCTTTGTCTTTATGATTTGATAACCTTACTTTGATTGTAGTTAAAATAGAACCCTATTGTACAGTATAGATCGGTCAAAAATACATATTAAAAAAAATACCACTGTACTATAATTAGATCCTGTAAAGACATTACTGAAGATATACTTTGCATATCTTAGACAAAAAATATAATCTGTATAGAGATATATAAGTAAAAAGAAAAATAGGAAAATTTAGTAATATAAAAATATGAACTTCACATGTTGCACGTAGTTTAAGTATATTTTGGCACAGCATATAAATTTTTTTGCAGCAATCATCATGTTAAATGACTTAACTGACCTCTATAAAAATTTTTGGGGTGGTGCGTCTACTATTGCATACTGCTGCATGTTGGCGCATATTTGTCTATATGATTAGAAAATAGTAGTGTTAAGAAAATATTATCTAGCACATTAGTTATTAAGAAATTGGTTGTTTTAAAAAAATAATTATATAAAAAATTATTTGTGAAAAAATAGTTTTTAAGAGTAAATATATCAAAAAAGTAATTGTTAAAAAAAAATTTAGGACTATTAAAGAAATAATTTATTAGAAAATATTAAAAAATCTAGAAAATCTAAGAGTAGTACAATATTATAGCATATTTTAAACTTATAAACTTTAAATCAAACCTGAATTAAATTTATAGCTAAGCCTGTTCAAGTCTAGTTTAGATTTAGCAATTCTGTATTTAAGTCAACTTTGATTTTGGGTTTTTATTCAAAAAAATCTAAGTTAATCTAAACTAAAAATTAGAATACTATTTTATAAATTCTCTATTATTTATATTTCAAATAATAGAGAATTTTAATTGTTTTTTATATATTACTAGTTAATATAAATTATTTTATATTTTTATAATTTTATATTTAAAGTATTTTACAATTTATTTATTTATTCTAAATATATTTTAAGAAGAAAAAAACACTATTGAAAATAAATACTATTAGCAAGTATATTTTTATAAATTATATCTAAAAATTATATCTTTAATTAATCTAATTTTAAGCTTTAATTTTAAAAAAACTAGGTATCTGTTAGTCTATTATTCTATAGAAGCAATTACACATAATTTATTATTATTTCTATTAATTGGGAGTTCATGAGCAAGCCAGAGAGTGATTATAGCTCAGATTACTATAGTGTGAATATAGCTTGCACAAATTTGTAACTTTTTTTTATACTAAGTTAATTACCTTCTAACTTAAGAAACTTTTGTAAAGCTTGTCAAAACACATTTAATAGTAGTTAAACCATCAAAATTGGCCTGGTGGGTGCTAAAATATCTTTAAAAAACCTTTCTTTTACTATATAAAATTTTTTGCAAACAATACTATCATTTGCAAAGAAATTTATATAGTAAAAGAAAGATTTTTTAAAGATATCTTAGCACCTAGGCTGATTTTGATATTCTAACTATCATTAGATGTGTTTTGACAAGCTTTACAAAAGTCTCTTAAGTTAGAAGAGTGATTAATTTAGTATAAAAAAAGTTTTAGATTCATGCAGGCCATATTTGCACTATAGTAAATTTATATAGTAATCTGAGTCATATCACTCTCTGGCTTACTCGTGAACTCCCAATTAAGCGATATATATCAAAAATTGCTTAAAAACAATAATAGGTAAGAAATCAATATAGATCAAATTATCGATTATTATCAAACTAACCAAAATCATAATATGGGGGGAGTCAATAGAAATAAGACAAATTTATTAGATAGATTTGTCCTATTTTTATTGACTCTTCCCATATATTAATTATTATATTATTAATCAATAATTAGCACTTTAATTAGAAATATGTATAACTTTAATTGATATATGGTAACTTTAATTGATATACTGTAACTTTAATTGATATATACTATAAATATATACTTTAAATATTAAATATATAAGGTAGAGTCAATAGAAAAGAGCCAAATTTTTTAAGTAAAAGTTTTCTTGACTTTAGGCCTAAATATCTCATAATTATTTTTTTATTTTAATTTTTTATAATTTCAAAATTAAAATAAAAAAATTTTAAGCAAATTTGGTTAGTTAGTTGTTAAAATATTTTAATTTAAAAATTAAAAAAAATTTCACTAAAAACAATTTGTCCCTTTTCTATTGACTCTACTCTATATGCTTCAAATATTAAAACATAAAACTGTTTACTAAATATTCATTTATTTTTCAAATTTTGCAACTATATATACAGTTCTATCTATACTATCTATAGGTATACAACTGTATTGTTTAATTAATTTTAATTTAGAACATCCTTATAATTCACCATCTTCATCATACTAATAAACAAGAGCAAGTTCTAATGGATCTTTGTTAATCACTTGGTAAAACTTAAATATCTTATAAATGATATTTTTTATATATATTAGTATATATTACTTACTAAGTTAGAGAAAATTTATTAACTTTATTACTTATTCCTTAAACCATCAAGTTTGGCTGCTAAAATTTATAAACAGTTGTATCTGATCTAATTTTATTAAATATTAAAATATTTAAAAAAAAAATTTACATAATAATATTTAAAAATAAAAATTACAAAATAGTAATATTGATTTTTAAATTATAAGAAAAGAAAATATAGTTGTTTATATATTAAAAATATTAAAAATTTTAAAAAATTTTTTAAAAAATTAATATTTATCTTTATTATTTGACAAACTTTTTAAAATTTTAAGCTTACTTCTCTATAATCTTAGAACAGGATTATAGAATTAGTTTTTAAAAATAATTTTAATTAATAAAATTTTTATAAATTTTTAAATAAAATTTTAACTTTAATTAGAAGCAAAAAAGCTTTTTTGTAGTTTTTATATATAAAACTTCAATAATTTTAAAAGGAAATTTAATACTCCGATATAATATTTATATAATGTTCTATAAATATATTAAGGTTAGGGTTGGATTTAAAAATATGTATAATTATATATAAAATTAGATGCTGAACAATTTTATTTAAAATACCTATATATAGTTTCTTAATAAAATTTTGAGATATTACTAATTTTTGATTTTTTTCTTATACCAGGTATCATACCCACTAGGTACAAATAGAAATTCTCTTTTAAAAATATTTTTATATAAAAAGTTTAGAACTAACAAGATTCAAGAATTAATACCTTTAATAATATTAAAATTATTTTATTATTAATTAATTATATACTATATTTTTATTTTAGCTTAAAAATAGGAAGAGCCAAGCTTAATAAAATTTTTAGTAATTATAAAAAAAATATATAAAAAAACATTTTAGCAACCAAATATGGCCACTAAAAGGTTTAAGAGATAGTCATTATTTATTGTTAAAATGCATTGGAATATGTGTAATTTAAATTAAATAAAATCGATACTTACTAAGCTATACCAATTTATTTTATTTTTTTAATCATTAAGTGTACTTACTGTAATATTAGAAAATATTAGTTTTCCATGAAAATTTGAAGTAGCACAAATTATATCAGTACTTTCTAAAAATGCAAAAGAAAATATTTCTATATAATTATCTTTATTAAAAAACACAGTTAATTCTATTTCAAAAAAATCATCAAGGTTAGTTAGTAGGTTTTAAAAGCCTTTAGTTTGTAATAGATTCAAATTATTTATATTTTTTTAAAGGAAATTATCTAGGTTTTCTAACCTTAATTTTAAGGCTCATAAAGGTTTTTCAAACCCTTTAGTTTGGCAATATTTTTTATAAACTTCTTTTCAGTAAGTTTTTTCATTTAATCTAATAATAATTAATTATTAATGATACTTAGAGATTATCTACTAAGCAGTATTGGCATTGGACATATGGGGTTATTCATATTAAAAAGGCCCATTTTGCAATATAAACAATTTTGAGATAATTGAGTTTAATAATTTGCTTTGATTTTCAGATTGATCCGGAATTAAGCAAATTTCATGATTTTGATTGGTTAAGAGTAACAGGTGACTATCGGGTAATTTTGTGATATTCTTGGCCTTAGACAGCTTCGTGTAATTTTTCTTTATATTATCTCTATTTTTTATTAAGCAAATCGCCTTTCACTTATAATTGAAAAATGTTAGTCATGTCAAAATTTACATAAATCTAATAAAAACTCATTTTTTGAAAATTTGCAAAATGGGCCTTTTTAATATGAATAACCCTATATGTCCAATGTCAATATTGATTTACTATTTAAATGTACTATATTCAATATTTGTTTCATATAGTTTTTCTTGTTTGATATTTGATAAGATATCTTTATATAGTCTTTATGAAGTGTTTTATAAGTTTTAGTGGTTATACTATTTATTGATCCATATTTTTTAATTAATTAATTAATAATCTGTCACTCAACAGAAGAATTTTCTATATTAGGATGTGGCGCAGATTGCATATAACAAGACGAAAATTAAAATTTTCAGGTTATAAATAAAGTACAAATTTTTTTTTAAACAAATATAGCATTAAAGTAGTACAAATAATACAGTAAAACCTCCAAGTGCAGGACAAGTTAATATGAAGGTAAAACTTACTATAGCAGGTCGCACATAGGTGTTTTTTGAATAACCGGGTGAGCTAATACTTGTAATTTAGATGTCAAGAGGAATAGCCTCTTAAAAAATTTTTAATATTTCATAGTATAATATTATAAAGCCTAATAAAGTAGAGGCAAGACTGCCAAAATATAAAAAAAAAAATAATAATAATAATACAGTGAAACCAAAAGTTTCTGATTATAAAGTTTTTAAGTATCAATCTTTTTTTTTGACAAACTTTACTTTGGACGAACGCAGCATTCAATATGTTTGACCTTATATTAATTAGGCTTATAAATTAACTTATTTTATAGTACATTCATACCCATTTTATTTTAACATGCTACCCAAACTCAATTTAACAAACAGATTGCTTTGGCAAATAACTTACTCAAATATAATTTCTAAACTAATTCAAAGTCTAAACTAAATCCATGTTTCCAAATCTTGAATAACTTATAGTATTTAGTAGATGAAAAAAAACAAGTGGTGTAGATTAAATTAGAAACATATACTTAAGAGATACATAACTCACATTAATTATAAAGTTTAAAATAACCTTTTTTTGCTTTTGTATCCAATATATTATCATGTAGGCTCTTACTAATTTGCCTATTTAACTCCACCACAATAATGATAGTTATACCTATAGATTGATCCACGTAACTAAACCAATTTGGAATGTACTATGTAACGGAAATAAGCATTTAAATTTCTTCAACTATGAATAAAACGATTTGAAAGACAAGTTAGTTTTCTAGTTGTATAAGGCATTTAATTAGCATTAGAGAAGTAGTTTTTAAAAAGTAGATTTTTTAAATTGTCTTAGTTGTGCGAAGAGCTTTTAAGATGTGTTGTGTGAAGAACTTTTGCATTATATTATAGTAAATAAATATTTATTTTTTGGTTTTTGTAAACTTGACTGATTTAATTCCACTGGCTAAATAAATAATCTTTATAGTTACAGACAGAATGAAATGGTCAATACAAATAGAACGATTTTAAACATGTAATAGTAAGAATTTATACTTTTATTTTACAAACTTAAATTTGATGATTTTAATTCTATCTATTAATAATCTTTATTTACAAGATGAATGAGATAATTAAAATGATGAATGATTTAAAGATAGTGTCTGGGAACTTGACTAATCAATAATAATCTTTTATTTAAGAGCAGAATGAATGATCAATGCAAATAGATCGATTTAAAGAATATTGTGTAATAGTAAGTATTTTTGTGAACTTAAATTTAATGATTTTAATTCTACATATTAATAATAATCTATTTACAAGTTGAACAAGATAATTAACGCAAATGAATGATTTGAAGGGAATTATCTAATGGTAAATAAGTAGTTATGTTCCTGGTTTGTGAACTTGACTTGCTAATTTTGATTTACTGATTAATAATGATCTTTTAGTTAGAAGCAGAATGAATGATCAATATGAATAGAACGATTTTAAGAGTATTATATAATGGTAAGTATTTATGTTTTTAATTTGTGAAAATTTTAATTAAAAGTTGAGCTAGATAATTAATGTGAATGAATGATTTGAAGGGGTATTATATAATAGTAAATAAGTAGACAAGTAGCTATGTTCTAGTCTATTAATTCACTGGTTTTAATTTACCGACTAATAATGATCTTTTAGTTAGGGGCAAATAAAATGATCAATGTGATTTGAAGAGTATTATATAATGGTAAATAAGTATTTATGTTCATACTTTGTGAACTTAAATTTGATGATTTTAATTTTACTAATATTTGCTTACAAGTTAAACAAGATAATTAACGAGAATAAATAATTTGAAGGACTTATATAATGGTAATTAGTAATTATGAAGTGACTTGCTAATTTTTAATTTACTGATTGATAATGATCTTTTAGTTAGAGCAGAATAAAACGATCAATGCGAATAGAACAATTTGAAGAGTATTGTATAATGGGAAGTATTTATGTTTTTGGTTTGGTAACTCGACTTACTGATTTTAATTTACTGATTAATAATGATCTTTAGTTAGGGCAGAATGAAATGATTAATGCGATTATAATCTTCTATTTCTTTGTCTATGATCTCGACTTGCTAATTTTGATTTATTGATTAATATGATTTTTTGGTTAGGGGCAAATGAAATGATCAATGCGATTTGAAAAGTATTATATAACGGCAAATAAACATCTATGTTCATACTTTGTAAACTTAAATTTGATGATTTAATTCTATATTATTAATCTTCTATTAACTTAAATTTGATAATTTTAATTTCACAAATTAATAATCTTTATTTAAGTTGAACAAGATAATTAATACGAATGAATAGACATCTTATAATGGTAAATAATAGTTATTGTAAATTCGACTTACTGATTTTTAATTTACTGATTAATAATGATTTTTTAATTAGAAACATAATAAAATGATTAATACAAATAGAACGATTTGAAGAATATTGTATAATAGTAAGTATTGTTTTTAATTTGTGAACTTAAATTGGATAATTTTAATTCTATATATTAATAATCTTGTTGAACAAGATAATTAACACGAACAAATAATTTGAAGGATATTATGTTTCTAGTTTGCAGTATTATATGCTTAGATAAATTTGGTTATAATAAGGGTTAGAATTAGCAAATATATAAATTATACAAAAAATAAATAAAAAAATATATAACTTTTAATATAAATTTTTATTGCTGGTTTTTAAAGAAAGATAATAAATTTTTATTTAAAATTATATTTCAACTTTTTTTTAAATTACATTTTTAATGACATTAATAAGTTTTAAACTAGCAGGGTAAGTTTAAACAAGAAATAGATTGGTTCTTAATTAGCCAGGTAGACTTCTAACTAGCGAATAGATTAGAAGGTTAGTTCTTAATTAATGGGTGAGCCAAGTAGCTAAATTAGCAAGTGGATTGGGTAATTAGTTTATAATTAGTACATCAGCAAAATATATAACCCATAAGATATTACGGCCTGTAATATTGCGCAAGAATTACGGTCTGGACATAATATTGTACAATTTATTATGGAATATTACGCAATTTATTCCGGAATATTGCGCAATTTATTCCAAAATATTGTGCAATGTATTACGTAATATTACGCAAATTATTATGAAATATTATGCCGAGCATTGTAATTTAACACTTGCGAACCTCTACAATATCACATGATCATTATTTATTAACATGATCAATTAATATATCATTATATGTTCTGTAATATTTATATACGTATTACTTTATTAACATGATCAATTAATATATCACTTATGTTCTGTAATATTTATATATAAAAATTTATTATTTATTTTACATATTATATAGAACGATTTTAAATTAATAGCCCCTCTAACTGTAAAGACTAAAATTATTTTAATCCTAGCCCTAACCCTAAAGTCAACCCAGGTTCTAACAACTATTTTGAACTACACCACTACAAAATCACAACAGTCAATAACAACACAAGACAAAAAAAACCAATAATATAACAAGATATAATATGAAATTGTGCCAAGGAAAGTTTCAAAACAAGCACCTCAATTTTCATAAACATCCTAGAAAACAAGAAAAATACTCTAAATTCTTAAGCCCTAACCTACCAGCCTTGTTGTAATGCCTTCGTTAGCCAAAACCAATATACAAGAAGCAAAACTTAAATGATATAATTCACCAAGGCACCAACAATGAAGCCAAGAAGACGACATACAACTTACCAAAGTATCAATGACAAAGCCGAAACGATGATATACAGTTTACCAAAGCATCAACGATGATACACAACTCAATGACAAGAAACCAAAACAACGACATAAAACTCACCAAGGCACAAACAACAAAGCCAAATAATGATTTACCAAGGCACCAATGATGAAGCTGAAACAAGGATTCATCAAAACACCAATAATGAAGTTGAAACGACGATACACAACTACCAAAGCACCAACGACAAAGCCGAAATGTTAATTTACCAAGGCACCAACGACGAGAAGCTGAAACGATAACTTACAACTCACCAAGGCACCAACGATGAAGCTAAAATGTCAATTCACCAAGGCAGAAGCTGAAACGACAACACACAACTTCCCAAGGCACCAATGACGAAGCTGAAATGTTAATTCACCAAGGCACCAACGACGAGAAGCTGAAACGACAACCCCAAGGCACCAATGATGAAGCCAAATATTAATTCACCAAGGCACTAACAACAAGAAGCTGAAATGACAATACACAACTCCCGAAGGCACCAACGACGAAGCTGAAATGTTAATTCACCAAGGCATACAACAACGAGAAGCTGAAATGATGACACATGCACCAACGACGAAGCCGAAATGTTAATTCACAAGGCACCAACGATGAAGCTGAAATGACAAAGCTAAAGTGACTGTAA